AGGATCTCAGTTATGCATGGACGGATTTCGTTCAAATTTGGTACTTACATTAAACATAATAGGACCTTGATGCAGTTCATTTTTTTTTCCCGGATCAAGTCGAAATGGCCGACTGGCGGCCATTTTCTTAAAGAATTCAGTTCTGGATCCGTATCCAAGACATGTCTGGATTGATCAAGTTCAAACTTCACACACACATGGTGCATCATGTCACAAATAGATATGTGCATTTGTTTCATGATCCGCTTAACAATAGCTGAATGATGGCCATTTTAAGACCGAAAATGCATTAAAATCACATATTTTCACAATTCCGGAACCAGATCTCAGTCATGCATGGATGGATTTTGTTCAGATTTAGTACAATGTGTTGTACATATGCAGGTGCATTTCGGTCATGATCTGCTTTGAATGTATATGTCACTCAAATATGAACGGAACGGGGACGTGTCATTGACAATGACTTGTTCTAGACCATTTTTATCAACGCAGGGTTATTTTTCCATTACGATTGGCCTCGTAATATCTGCCAAAAGATCGCCCGGGCGATCTTTTGGTCCACATTTTTCTAAAAAAAAATCGAATCCTCCATAAGAGGGGTTTCAGCCGAATCCGGTAATTGTGAATATGAAGTTGATTTATACTTCAGAATTTTTCAAACAATTTTGCTTTTTAATGGTTTATATGATGTATGAAAAGAGCCTGAAATTAAAAATTAAAGTTGTCTGTCCATTAGACAGGTTGAAAGATAGAAATGTCTGTCCCAGTAGATGATGTCCCTGTCCTTAGCAAGATGTATTACCAGTATGACGTATTATTTAAAATAATTTGTAGGTCACAAACTTTACAAACTCTGAAAAACAAGTTTTTGAACATTACCAGCTTGGGACTACCCAATTTGGCCAGCTAGTAAAAACTTGATATCTTTATTTCACTGTCCACAGGAATAGACAATTTCTAGATTTACTAGTCTCAGCTAAAATCATGGACATGCCTTAATTTTCACTTCTAAAGGATGCGATACATGACCTATAACATCCAATCAGAATGGTGATATAATCATCAAGATACCATGTGATTGGTTTAAATTGCCTATCTTAAAAAATAAATTGTTTGAACACAAGTATGAGTCTAGTATGTCTAGATGCTTTGAGAGTTCATGTGTTTAATATTTTTGGAATATGAAATGTTTTACTTTTGTTCATTTTAGATTTACTTTGTTAATGATCCGTTTGCCAGAGTGCGAGCTCATTCACTGAAGACATTGACACAGAGTCTAGCGTTGGTTAAAAATGTACCTAGAAGGTTTGTATATATTTTTTTCTGTGTGTTATATTTTCCATTTATCAATACAAACTCAGTACATAAATGTGGGATATCTCTCGTACTAAACTGTCATCTATTTTCTCCTCTGAGGATCTTTGCGCATCTATATGAGAATTAGAGACGACAATTTCTTAATGCACTGTCTTGTGAACCTCAGGAAAATGTTGACTGAGGCTTTCTGTTTTGAGGATCACAGGCTATACTCTAAATTCACTGGTACACCAAATAATCTGATATTTTGGATGCTCAAACATTAAAAGGATTTAAAAATTTGAACATGTTAATTTGTACTTAAGATCCAACCAATTCTTTAATAGCACAGAAATTAGAAGTTGTGCTTGACATGGTTGAAATCATTTCTTCAAACGCCTACATACACCCTTGGCCATCTTTTTCAATAGATTTTCAATTTGGGAAGAACTCTGAACTCTGAACTTCAAAATCTTGCATATGTGTATTGCAAAGTATGGTCATTTGTGATCTTGAAGATTATTTTATGGTGGTGTCACATCAGTTTTAAGCTGACTAATTTAATATTGAATCAATTTATTTGTACTATAGGCACTAAAAATATATAATGGCAATAATGGCATTCACGTTATACAGATCTCACAAATCCTGGGAGTCGGAACCAATCAGCATGTGGTGAAAAAAATGACCTCGACCCCAAAAGATGGTCGGAATCGAAACTATGCATGTGCTGAAATTTTCTGTCTGAAGGCTCGGCACGAACCCGAATCAGATTCTTCTTTGCCCTGCACTCATAATAAATACCATAGCAGCAAATTAATATGATTTCAATATAGCAATTATTATTCGTATGCGTATTGTCTGCCATGTTTGGGTCAAATAACAGATTGACGAATTGGAGGGGGGGGGGGGAATTTCAGAACGAACAGAGTGGATCTCAATGTGGGTCCCGACTAACCTGAGCATGACTGCTGTAATCTCTCTCCAAACACGAAGGATTTAGAATTTCGGCACATTCCAAGATCCCGTAACGTGAACGTAGTAAATATGTATTACCGGTATGACTAGAATCTGACAGATCACTATGATAAAAAATTTGTATACTTCGATTGAACACATCATTTGTTGCTGACTGTCGGGTCGGGTGGGGTGGGGGTGGGTGGGCTTTACAGATTATGGTCAGTTTGTAATACAGTGGTTTCCTGACATCATGAGAGGTGCATGGCGGTGTGCATATTTCTGAGGAAAAATACAGTGGAGGGGAGCATGCACAATCTACTAGCCCCAGACATAAATGTGCATAACGACAAATGCAAATCATACTTACAATTATATAGTGAAGACAGTTTTAGTTCCATTTTAGGTGCTGAAGGGATATACAGTAAATGCATGAATTAAAATTATATATAGTTTTGTATTTTCTTGCAGTGATGCAAATATATTTCGAGAATACATCCTTCCTAACTTGGTGAGTATCTGAAAACTCCTTCATATAGTGATCATGTTCTCTTTTCTACAGAATGTTGAATTATCACACTGTGATGTAAGTTTGTATATATTTTTGGCAACCAGCATGCAAGTGTCTGAAAACAAACGTTGCTCACTGATCAACACTATCTTGCGATTTGCTGTGATGACATAATTGCCATAAATAGTTTTATTACCAAGAACACATACAGGGACAATAACAGCAGCATTGAACAACTCTGTTATTTTATTCTTGGATGTGAATGGTTGGTTTTTTCCAGCCTTTTATTTGCATGCAAGCGCATAACAAGTACATCAACAATATGTAGTACATACATGTAAACAAGTACAAGATTTCATGTTTTTAGTGGTTTCTTACTAATACTATTTTTTAACAGTACAAATATAACCATCAGAAACAGAAGTATTGTTTTTACTGTACCCGACCGCGTTAGTGCCCATGCCTGGTCAAGTGCCCACCCTCAACTTTTGCGCAATTTTTATATTCAGGGTCACATTCGGCAAAGTATGCCAGTAATCTAAGACTTGGTCTTTGATCATTGCTTAACAAAGACTGGTAATTTTTATATGATACAACGTGGATATCAACCGCCGTGAATGCTTAGACCACGGTAACTGAGCGTAAACCACGCTTCGATAATGACCTGATAATAAAAGTAAAATGCGGTAAATATTTCATGCCATATTCATTCAGTTTACCTATCAAAAATGGCTAGTTACCAATTTTTGAAGAAGAAAAACATGTCATTTATTTGCCGAAATCAATTCCAACAGATCGTTCTTTGACATCGATAACTCATTTCTGCATTGCGCGACCAGAAAGTCTTTGAGGAATTTCCGAAGAATTGCGTTAGTACAACACAACATTCTAATTGGTTAATAACAGACTTAACCATTAGGTCAAATCATGCAAATGCATCATGGCGGAAAGTGCTTTTCATCAAGAGTTTGTGTACAATCCAACACATTCATCAGTGGAGATAATTATGAAAATTTTGAATTTGACTGTGTCCCAACATCGTTCAACAGATTGCCTTCTGAAGTTGTTTTTTCCCATTCATTTTGTCTATCCAGGAGGCTTTAATCTTTTCACTTCCAGACTGTCTTGGCCAAATCTTTCGGCACTTTTTTAGTCCCCGTTCGAACGCAGTCCGAAAACAGGGACTTACGTTTTGACCTCCGTGCGGTTGTGCGTGCGTGCGTGCGTCTGTGCGTGCGTCCGGACATGTATCTTAGAAATGCCTGGACCAATCACAATCAAACTTCACACATACATCATACATTATATTATACATATGCACGTCAATTTGTTTCACGATCTGATTTAAGATGGCCGAATGGCGGCCATTTTTATGCTAAAAATCATCAAAATCAAGCATTTCCCAGCTGTTTATAGATGGATTTTGTTCAAACCTTGTATATACGTTGGACATTATAGGACATTGATGCACAACATGTTTTACGATCTGATTTAAGATGGCCGAATGGCGTCCATTTTTGTGCTGAAAAATCCTAAAAATCCAGCATTTCTCGTTTCTTATATTCTTCATTATTTCTGGTAGTAAACCCTTATATTGGAGCCAACAGATAAAATTTCAGTCAATTTTCTGTTTCTACTATAAACACATATTAAATAATAAATATATATACAGAATCTATAATTTCAAATTCTTAATTATTCTGAAAAACTTTTGTGAAGCTGGTAGTTTATCTTTAAGCAGGAGCCCAGTTGATCTATTTGTTTTGGAGAATGATCGTTAGGATTGTAAACTTCACTTTCTTACTTGATCAGTATCAGTACTTGTACATGTGTATCAGTTTCGTTTTCTCTTTCCATCAGACTAATCTAACTCTGGACCAAGTTGTATCTGTAAGAATTACATATGCAGAGAATATTGCGTCATTAGCAGAGACTGCTCTGAGATTCCTAGAAATTACTCAGTTAGATCACGGTACGCAAGAAGAAGAGTCAGATTCTATACTAGATCCAAGTGTTCAGTATCAGGTAAGATATTCAACTAGAATAGAATAGAATAGAATAGAATAGAATAGAATAGAATAGAATAGAATAGAATAGTCCTCATCGAAATCTGACATTTCAGATTTGGTATTTGCTGTCTTAAAGCTTTTTCAAAATAAACTACAATTAAACTACACATACAATACAATGATAGATTTCAAATAAACAGCTAAATCACACTGAAAATATAGCACAACAATACATTAATTGATTTTCACCTTTTTAGTCCCTGTTCGGACGCAGTCCGAAAACAGGGACTTATGTTTTGACCTCTGTGTGTCCGTGCGTGCGTGCGTCTGTGCATGCGTCCGGAGCTGTATCTTAGAAATGCCTGGACCAATCACAATCAAACTTCACACATACATCATACATGATATTATACATATGCACGTCAATTTGTTTCATGATCTGATTCAAGATGGCCGAATTGCGGCCATTTTTGTGCTAAAAATCATCAAAATCAAGTATTTCTCAGCTGTTTACAGATGGATTTTGTTCAAACTTAGTATATACATTAGACATTATAAGACCTTGATGCACATCATTTTGTTTTACGATCTGATTCAAGATGGCCGAAGGCGGCCATTTTTGTGCTGAAAAATTATATATGGTATATACATTAGACATTATGGGACCTTGATGCAAATAATTTTGTTTTTTAGATAAGATTAAAAATGGCCGACTGGCGGCCATTTTGCTTTAATGAATGTGGTTCTCGTGCCATGTTTCTGACTTGCTTTCACTGATTATGTTCAAATTTTAAATATTCATTATTCATCATTGGGTAAATTGGGCTTTTAATGTAAAAATTTTGCTATTTCGCTTTGGATTCAGTCATGTATGGCTGAACCAAGGTGTAGGCTCGAAAAGTGTGTTTCTTTCACAGTTCACACACTGATAATTAAAGATTGTGCGCAACAAGTATGGCACGACGACACTGCTTCTTCCCCCAAACTCCGTTCCTATCTCGATTTTAAGTCATCGCTTGATCAAGAAAAATATTTGTCTTGCATCCATGTTTTCAAATTCAGAGCTGCATTGTCAAGGTTACGTTGTTCTTCTCACAATTTGCATATTGAAAAGGGAAGACATGAAAATGTACCCCTCGATAATAGATTGTGTGAATACTGTGTTGAACGAAATCTACTTTATGTTGAAGACGAATATCATTTTATAGCTATTTGCCATCGTTATCAACGTAATAGAGCAGAATTTTTGCCTGTATTGTTCTGCACCAACCCCACTTACAACAAATTTAACTCGCTCATGAGTTCAAGAAACGATGTAATTTTAAATCAGTTAGCGAGTTATGTTTATTTCGCCATGAAAAGCAGAACTTAAATGATTTTTGTTTTCTCTATTGTTACAATTGTTAAGTGAAACTGTATTTGCTCTTTGGGCCAATGGCCTTTTGCTTTGTAATAAATATACTATACTATACTATAGATAGACAGATATATTGGTTTGACAATCCTATTCAAAATGGCCAAATGGTGGCCATTTTTGTGCTAAAAAATCATCAAATATCAAGCATTTATGGATGGATTTCGTTCAAACTTGGTACATATGTTAGACATTACAGGTTCCTGATGCACATCATTTATGGCTGTCTGGTGGCTATTTTGTTTTAATGATTGGGCTTCTAGAGCCATATCTTTTAAATGCTTTGACTGGTTATATTCAAATTTTATATATTCGTTATACATTATGTTATATATATACATGTATTCAAAATGGCTGATTTTGAATGTTTTTGTCATTTTTAGCTCCCGTGAAACGGAACTTATGTGGTACCGGTGTCTGTGACTGTTACTCTGTGACTCTGTGACTAAAATTTGTTCCACTGATAACTCAAGATCTACAATTTCAATTCAAATGAAATTTGGCACACAGCTAATATATGAGTAGATGCGCTGATTAGATTTTGGTGCAATTCCATGCACATTAATTAGTCAATTATTGCATTAATTAGTCCCCAGACGCAGTATCTGTATCTTAGAAATGCCTGGACCAATCACAATCAAACTTCACACATACATCATACATGATATTATAAATATGCACGTCAATTTGTTTCATGATCTGATTCAAGATGGCCGAATGGCGGCCATTTTTGTGCTAAAAATCATCAAAATCAAGCATTTCTCGGCTGTTTACAGATGGATTTTGTTCAAACTTAGTATATACATTAGACATTATAAGACCTTGATGCACATCATTTTATTTTACAATCTGATTCAAGATGGCCAAATGGCGGCCATTTTTGTGTTAAAAAATCCTAAAAATCAAGCATTTCTTGGCTATTTACAGATGGATTTTGTTCAAACTTGGTAAATAATTTTGTTTTTCAGATAAGATTCAAAATGTCCAACTGGTGGCCATTTTGTTTTAATGAATGTGGTTCTCGTGCCATATCTCTGACTTGCTTTCACTGATTATGTTCAAATTTTAAATATTCATTATACATCATGTCATAGATAGACAGATATATTGGTTTGATGATCCTATTCAAAATGGCCGAATGGTTGTCATTTTTGTGCTAAAAAATCATCAAATATCAAGCATTTCTGGCATCTATGGATGGATTTCGTTCAAACTTGGTACATATATTAGACATTACAGGTTCCTAATGCACATCATTTATTTTTCAGATTGGATTCAAAATGGCTGACTGGCGGCCATTTTGTTTTAATGATTGGGCTTCTGGAGCCATACCTCTGAAATGCTTTGACTGATTATATTCAAATTTTATATATTCGTGATACATCACGTCATATATATACATGTAGTCAAAATGGCTGAAAACTATTTATCTTAAATTTGATAACTAATGGAGACTGCGCCATTCATGGCTTGTCTTTTTTTTTATTTTGTACAACATAAAATATTGTGGTTTACTACAGCAGTAGAATCAAAGTTCAGTGTATTTTTGTGATAATCTGTAAATGATTCTAGACTATCATCCGTGTGTGTTTTTTTAAATATTGTTTGTGCCAGGTAAAATTGAACTCACTGTTGTTTCCTCTGACATGTCTGTGAGCCAGTCTCCAAAACCAACTACTGTATGATTGGTAAGGCTGGGCAGACTGTACACAGATTTATAATGCTGAGTGAACATTCAAATTCGGAATCAAACCCAGAACCTGCCTGTTATCAGCTGAACATGCTAACCACTGTACCATTTCCTAGATCATCCTTGTGTGATTCTCACATGTTCTCAAAGCATGACATCATTGTTACTAGTGTGTATCTACCTTGCATGTTATTATCATTGTTATTTGTAGGGAAGCTATGATGCAGAGTTACAGGATCTTCATGAAATGATTCAACAAAAAGTGGTCACTCTACTCAGTGATCCTGTGAGTATCAAGTTTACTTTATTATTATTTCACACTAAGGTCATATTGAAATACATTATTATATAACTGACACTGAATACAATAGGATTCAAAATGTAAACATAAAACTCTCTACTCCACACTTGACATTCTAACCATGTATTTGTATTGAGTAGTGCTTGGTCATTGACCTCTTATATTTTCTTGAAGTGCCTGTTAATTTTTTTTTTTTGAAGTTCTGAAAGCATTTATGGCACTGTCATCAACTATTTTCACTTGCCACCATCTACAATGTCTTTTGAACTACACGTATTTACTTTATTCAATCGTAAAGGATCTGTTAATCTTCATGCAAAATTGTGAACTTTGTGAAGACAATAAAAATACAAATGGTACAGCAATCTAATTATATAATACCAATGAAACATTCTTAAATGTGAAGTCATAATTATTCTACCACCAATCAATATAGAGTAGCAAAAGAAACTCATTGAGTTGAACTGTCGAAGATTGTCC